TTCTTAACTTTCTTTCTTTCTTTCTTTAAGTATTCTCCAGTATTAGACATTTTTTTCAATTATACTTTTCGTCGCGACTATACTTCTTTTTTATTACTTCTTTTTTTTTTTTTTTTTTTTTTATTGTGTCTATTTTATATTAAAATTTATATTATACCAAAGATTTAATAAATCTGTGTACGTATGCGAGTATTGCGTTAATCTGAATCTTTTCAAGAGATTAGAACTACGATAGAAGTTTAGTTGCGATTTAATATCATATCAATAGTCTCGAAATCTATAAGATACGTAAATTACTGTAACACCGATATCGTATCCCAAGTGAATGAATAATATATACAATCGTGTTACGCGTTCCGTTGAATCGCTTTCAATTATCTCTCTAATTAGTCCAGTTTAATCCGAAGCTTACGCTTCGCGATTACAGCTAGAGCGATATTCGGATTTATCTGCAATCCGCAAATTTGTACGTGAATCATTCATACTAATCTCTTTCTTTGTTTACTCCTTCCCCCATTTTGATATTCTTTCATCGAGTATAGATGAGTAAAATTACTCTGAAACATTTGGCTCACCTTGTATAATATATTTAAAAAAGTTCAATGACCATAATGATTTGCATGGATAAAAAAAGCTTCTCGTCTTTGTTTACTATAGTTTGTTGCTGAAGACGACGACGACGACGACGACTACGACGAGGACGAGGACGACGACGACGACGATGATTGCACGCTAACTTCAAAATTATCCGCAAGGTCAACGAATCGTTCGACCAACGGTTTCTCCTCCTCCTCCACTTGTTCGTTCTTTGCTTCTTAAAATACACACCTGACTTTGCCTTCACCCATCAACGGCCTTCTCTTTCCCTCTTACCCTCTTACCTTCCTTTCCTTCTCCTTCGCGACGCGATCGATCAGCTGATTCACAAAAGAAAGCCGCTGCTCGCTCGCACACCGGTGTCTCTGAACCCATCTAAACTCTTCTTTTGTTCCTACTATTTTTTACGAGTTCATTAAACTGAAGTAGTTTCTCTGCGTGTTACGATTCATTTGTTTTAAATATTGTGTTGCATTTATTGGTGCATGCTTATTCTTTCGCTCAAAAATAATGCAAATATGTTATTTAATTTATTGCCTATTATTTTATCATTCCAAATTGAAAATCCAAATTATTTATAATCGAACAAAAATCATTCATAAAGTTGCATTGTAAAAAGACAATTCGTTATCGCGAAGTTCATTGCACTGGACAGGGCGTGCATTCCCCGAAGTTAAAGTTGATTCTTCGCTCCTACTTTTTCCAGGGATGGGGGATCGATAGTGTCTCCACCCACAATGAAAGAAAAAAAGAAAGAGAGAGACGAAACGAAATGCGAGAGCAAAGAAGGCGACGGCAACGTACTCGCCGGACGTAGTCGTCGGCTGTACGAAAGTCAAGGTCAAAGGACTGACTGCGTCGCGTATTAACGAGCAAGGTCATCGCTACGTACAATCGCTTCTACCGTGAAGTAGCCAGTGCATTGTCCTTGATCAGAGGCAAACAACCAGGTAGGCAGGCAACCAGGTAGGCAACCAGGTAGGCAACCAGGTAGGCAGCCAGATAGCCAACCGAGCACCTGTCGTTAACCTCCTTGTCGCTCGATTTCGAACGATCGAATGCATTCATTTGCATACGAAATAGAAGAATGTGGTCTAGAAAACTCGTTTCTTTTTATTTGATTTTTTTTCTGCTAGCATAAGATAAATTTCATTCTAAAAATGATTTCGACGCGTGTTGTCACGTTGGTTTCATCAAATTGGGAAATTTGTGGAGAAAGGAGGACGATCGATACACCGAGGACTTTATCTTCTCAACTTGGCGAGAGAGGGAGAGAGGGAGGTTGGGTGGAAGGGTTTGTTAGACTCGATGTCTGACTAAGCACAGATGCCGACTACTTACAAGTAGTATTACTTACACTCGAGAAAGCTAATCCCTATCTGAAGATATTATTGTTCGCTATGTTATTTCCATTTAAAAATGGCTAAGGATTTATCCTGTACAACCCAAAGGACATGGGATATTATATTTTTCTTCTTGCTATAATATAAGAAGTAAAAAAAAAAAATGATGGTAGTTAACGTTAGTGAAATATTTTTGTCGTTTAGATCATGTTCTATCTTTCTCATAAACTTATCTCAACGTAATGCAGTTAAACGTGAGCATGCATATATATACGTGTATGCATACTAGAGAAATATGTGTGTGTACACATTGGATGGTAGAATCGATGGCACGTTTCCGAGGACGGAAAACTCGTTAAGAGTGCGTTTGTACGAGATGGAAAGAGAAAGAGAGAGAGAGAGAGAGAGAGAGAGAGAGAGAGAGAGAGAGAGAGAGAGAGAGAAAGGCCGTTTAAATAAAACAAGCACGTCTCGCGAATACGAAAGTTCGACCAACAACAACACAGCAGCTCGAGAAACAGGCAGGCAGGCAAGCAGGCAAGCTCGGTGATTCTCTCGGTGCAACTCTCTTGACGATTACGTCACAATCGGACTTCCACTTGAGTCGAATTGTGCAACGTGACTTTGTGATATGTAGACATTGATAATAACGAGAACGATGATATCGATATTTCTTATGACAAAAGAATAAAAAGTTTGGTTTTTCTTTTTTTAAAGATGAGAATAAATATCTCAGTTTGATCAATTCTTTCGTTTGAAAGGAAATGTAAAAAAAAAAGATAAAGAAGTACTTTCTCTCTCTTGCTCTCTTTGGTCTTTGATAAAAGTAACTTTTGATATCGGGCATGTTTTTTCTTTGTAAATGTGAACTCGTTAATGAAAAGATCAGGAAAGGTAAAGAAAGAGTTGGGTAAAGAAAGAGTTGGGTTGAGAAAGAGAAGGAAGACGGTGGTGAGCAACCGACCGGATGACGGGGTCTGGGGTCACGGATGGGCGGCGGTAGGACTGGTTTCGGACCAGTCAACAAGAGAAGAAGAGGAGCTCTCTGCTCTATCTGTCCGGGCTTTACGTGCCACCTTATACCGGGTGGGAATGTTCGAAAGACCGAAACGCGCAACCCGTGAGAAGATTCTCTCTTGGTAGATCTTCATAGATCTTCGGAGATCATCGTCCTCTTCTGCTGGTCAATCTTGACGGTTCACTAACTTCAGTTCTTTTTCCTATCAATCCGTTTCTATCTTACGGTAAATAATAATGAAACTTGGGTCCAACAATTTTTGATTAGATAATTAGAATTTGTAAAATTGATTGTTTAATAATATCAGGGTGAACCAAAAGTTCGTGCTTTTATTGTGTTCTTTCAGATAGGGCAATTTTTTGAAAAGTCAATCAAATTATATGCAAATAAAATATTAATTAAAAACGCACGAACTTTTTCTTCATCCTAATAATAAAATACGCGATGATATATTTGGATTGAATTTTGTGAAAATCGTATGAATTAATGATAATTATCGAATAGATGAACAAAATGTAAGAAAACGGTGATAGAAATTCGAATGGAAAGGTGAGCTTTTTATTTGTTAGTCCTCGATGATATTTCCCTCGTCCTCTTTCGGCGTGTCATTCAGCACTTGTCGAAGCATACCCAACCAATCATACAGATTCGAATCGTATCTCGCATTTCGTGATCGCTGTCGTCGCTCGTATAAATCATTCTCGCGTGTTCGCACTCGTTTTCCTACGCTCGCTTGCCAGTAACCGATCCCGAGTGTAAAATACGCGTTTTAGACGGATCAGTGGATTTTTACGGACGATAGAAAGCAAATCCGACGAATAATTTCGATCATTCCCTTCAACCAAAACAACCGTTTTTTTCTATCGCAAATAAGAGAAAGAACAGCAACGAGAAGAAATAGGATAACAAGATTTTTTGTCCAAAATGACATTTTAAATTTGATTTATGAATTTTGAAAGGAATCGCGAATGAATTGAATGCTAAACTTGTAATAAGAATCAAGAGGAAAATGCAATAAGAAGAAGAAAGAGAACTTTCCAAGACGCGTTGCATAAAACTGCATACGGGATATACCAGTCTCTATACCAGTCTCTGTCTCGAAACATGTTCTTCTTCCTTTGAAGTAAAATTTCGAGAGAGACAGAGCGATAGGGTAGTGGAAGGGAGGAAACGAGGGAGAAAGTCAAAGCGTACGTGAGAAATCGCAACGGCAGCACTCGTGTTCGGTCCTTCAGAGGAAGGCCCCTTTCATCCGGCGGAAATCAAAGTCGGTGCTTCGCGGTAAGATCAAAAACCTGCAAGGACCTCCCTTTTCCTCCCTTCCCCTCTTTTTTGAAGGATCTTTTACATCCCAATACGCCAAGCACCGAAGAAGGATCCTTCTTAGTCTCGTGGATCCTTAATATCGACTTCTTTACCTTTCTACTTAATTTCAAGTAACAAGGATGAAATTTGAGCACACAATTCTATGCAAAATATGTTAATCGAGTCTATCTCCTTTCAATCTTCTTTCATTCAAATCAGACAATTAATTCATTCGAATCATCCACATTGTTCAATTGCAGAATATTGGAAATAGTTTATATTTAAATAAAAAACCAGTGGTATCATTTTTATCGTGACAATGCCAACGTAACTTATTGCTCAACTCGATAGAAAAAGAAACAATAAGAAAAATATGAAGTGACACGAATCGATTTGTAGCGCGAGTAAAAGGATAAAGATTTGATACGGATAAGAAAATAAAAGTAAAAAAAGGGAAACACGAGATAATAAATATCCAAAAAAGGGAGAAGAGAGAATATACGCGACGATCGTGAGAATCTGGTCAGATAGAACACGAGGGAAGATAATTCGAGAAAAGCAGACAATGTAAAGAGGCCATGGGCATCGTTGAGAGTCCCAGGATGATCCCGAGGGATGAATAGAAACGATCCTATTTATCCAACCGAGGAGATGACTGCCGTGTCTCTCGAGCTCAAGGTCCTCGTCATTTCCAACGATGCAATATGCTATCATGGATTTTTATAAGCACACTTCCTTTTTCTTTCTTTTTCTTTCTTTTTCTTTCTTTTTCTTTCTTTTTCTCTTTTCTTTTTTCCTGCTGGCTGTTTTTCTTCTTTCGCATCTCTCCTTCATCATCTTCTTCATCTCCTTTTCCACGGATTTTGTTAAATTTCAACTAGGAGCTAGTTACATTCCCCGGAGCCGTTCCCGGAAAACCGGACGTGCTTGAATACCTTTACTCACCCATCTAACAGAAGAGACCAAAGTTTCAACTTTACTTCTTCCATCTTTCTTCAATCTTTCTCTTTCCTTCTTTCTCCTTCCTTTTTTCTTTCTTACAGTTATTTAAAATGGATCCTGATTATTCCAAATTACTCCCAAGAGTTTCTTCTTCTTCTTCTTCTTCTTCTTCTTCTACTACTTTGCTACAAATTTCGTAGATCTTAGAATATTTATCTATATTCGTCCTATTGATTCGGTCTTAATCCTTTTTTCGATGACATTGAACTCGAATTGATTTGGGTAGAAAAGAAAAAAGCGTATCGTCGCAAACTCAAGGTCCATTCTTTTATGCAACACGATCGTCCTCTTATTTTTCTGCCGATCCCTTCTCGATAAATCGAAATTTCAAACTTTATTTGAAAGTCCGATTCCCAAAAACGTATTGTCTAGGGGCTTCGAAATTTATCTGATTTTATTTCGTATTTCGTATTTGTCTTTCGCACTTTTAGAATTGGACATTCGACGAGAAATCGTTGAAGAATATTCTCGAGAAGACTGCTTTCCACTCGTGTTTGTTACACGTGAACGTTTTTTAACATGCTATAGAGAGGTGTTCGTTCAGAAAATGACACGTGTTCGTTCAAAGGGAAAAAGAGAGAGAGAGAGAGAGAGAGAGAGAGAGAGAGAGAGAGAGAGAGAGAGAGAGGAATCATGCAAATTGCTCATACATTTTGGTGGTTGCCGTTTCTCGAGAGCCGTTGCAGGAAATTGAGTCGAGTGTAACGAACCATGAACAGCTCGTAATGCTCTGTCAAAATGACCTTCTCTAGAGGTGGACAGTCGAGAATGAGAATGAAAGAGATAGAAACGGACAGACGGATAGATAGACAGACAGACAGAGAGAAGATAGGCTGGTGCTACTTCTGCTGCTATCGCTGTCAAGCAGACACGCGTAAAAATTACAACATCAACCATGAGAGAGAAGACACGTTGAAATCTCGTCTTTCGCACCAAAAATGGATACTTGAAAAATATCTTTTATTATGGGTACCATCTGAAATTTAAATTAGGTATACGATTGAAATAGATTACCATTTCTTTTTTTTTTCTCTCTCTTTTTCTTGTAGATTAAAATATCAACAAAGTGTAAGAGAAGTTTATAATTTAGAAATTTCAAATTCGTAGGCACTCACTTTTATTTAAAAGGAATAGTACAAATTTCTACCCACTACCCTCGTGTAATATTTGACCAACAATACCTTTAAAAACATACACTAGAACATAATTTGATTGGTAATTATGATAGTGGCTTACATAAAAGAAAATTGAAGAAATGAATATGATGATTTATATTATTAAACAAATGTGAAGAATTTGTTGGCTTATTGTTAGACCAGTACCATAAATTACCGGGCACAATTATGCGAATAAAATATAAAAGAAATAGAAAATAGACTTACCTCGAAGGATCTGATAAAGGAAGACCTTGATGTGATCTGGGCTGAGGTGCTGTGGGCTGACGATGATCTTATGAAGATCGCTTTGGAGTAGCTCCGTGATCACATATCTATGTCGGTACTGATTAAGGAATTTATTGATTATATGCTCGAGGAAGCCACGTTTATACGCTATTAAATCGTCATTCGGGCCGTTACAACGACGTAATTAGATCGTGCTCGCTTTCCATAGCTACTACGATTAATTGCTTCGTTTCCATCCTCAAAGTCTACCATCCTTGTTAGAACGACCTTAATAAACGCTATCGAATCGTCCTTTGACGTGAAATCAACTTTGGAGACCTTTAACAACTACCTGTCTCCTCGTTTTCATCCTTGTTTCTTATTCGTACCTCGATCATTATAGTCAAATAATTATCTTCGAAATAAATACAATTTGAATACTCGACAATATGAAAACTTCAATAAATTCATGCTGCTTTTTATTTTCTAAGAAAATAAACAATGAAAATTGTACAGATTTGTTGGTATAATCAAATAAAAGATATTAAAATGTAACGCGTACAAAATTGTAGAATGTAAAAATGAAAATTGTAAAATATATTAGCTGGAAACGAAAGTGGACAGTCGAAATGAAGGGGAAGTTGGTAATTTACGGATCTAAGCGTTGAAGCTTGAAAGGAGAGAACCCACAACTTCTCTACCGAATGAGAAAGAGAAAAAGAAACGAGGTCGCATTGGAGAAGCACGAGAGTGGAAAAGAGAAGGGGAGAGGTTGCTTGCCACCAAGGGGTAGCATATGTAACTATAGATAGACTTAAGGTACTATGCCACTATCAAAGTTGCTAGAATTTTGTCAGGGACAAAACATTTTTTCATAATAAGAGTGTCCTATGTAGAAAATTAAATAAATTATATATATAATTTAGAAAATATATTAAGGAGCACAGATTTGAATTGGCTCCCCCTTGCTCTAATTGATCTATTAATTCAAATTAATTGAAAATCGTAGAATTGTACATTACAGGATTCAACGTAATATCGAGGTGTAGGTATTCATTGAAAAAAAAAAAAAAAAGAAAAAAAAGAAAAGAAAAAAAAACGAAATGTCACATATAATACGAAATCGATAATAAAAGAAACATCGTTTAAGGCAAAACGTGAACTCGTTAACGAACCAGTTTCGTAGGTATGTGTAAAATTTGGTTTCGATTTGTAACGAGTGTGAAATGCATGTGTGAGAGCGTGCGCGGAAACGTGTGCACATTATTAAACTTTATCTCGAGCCTTCCTCCTCTCTTGTCTCTAACGTTAAAACTCGGATATACCGTTGTAATGGAATAGTCAATACATATATTATCGGCTATATAATATTAACGCATTAATTATTAACATTTGAGTCTTTGTTCGATGCAGGTGGGGTGTTTGCGTGTCGTCGCGGCGGCTTTATATTAGCTTTATTTTAATCAAGGATAATTTTATGACGAACCGATCGTTTTACACTATTGTTTTACCAAATAAATAGTATTCGCGAGGAATATTTAATTGGCCACATATTCGTGATCTCGTTTAAACAACAATATATAATTAAACGGATAATAATATATGTCTCTCTTGTGTATGTACGCGTAAATAATAATTATTTGCTTAACTGACCAATAAGCAGTTACCATAGTTTTAATAGTTTAAGTTTCAATTAATAACGCTAATATATTTTTTGTTTATTTCAAAATCTTTAGTATATTTTATATTGAAACAAATAAGATATTTTGATCATAGACATTAGATAAATGTCCGAATACGTTAATGTTAGAACGCCCATTAATATTTTTGTATATGAAAGATTTCGACACTACTTATCGACCAATTCCTATAATTTCGTCAAATTTTCGTCGAAATTATTTCCTAACATAAATCATTAATAAAAGATTAGTTCTAAGTTTCAAGGATGTATGAAATAAGAACAAAGGGAAAGTAGAGACTAATTCTACTTATTTCTCTCTCTGTAGAATACTTTTTTCCTTTCACTGTCAACATCATCGTCATTATCCTTTTCGTCGTCGTTTATATACGTCCGACTTGCAGAAGAATAAAAGAAAAGAGCGAACGTTCGAGGAAAATGAAATAGTATAATGGCGGAATGAGGTCGACTGGTAGGTTGGAATGCAGGTAGAGGCTGCCTGCGAACCTGGCGTGGTATGCAAGTCGACTGGTCCGGTTGGCTTCGACCTGAAACGCCTAAACACTGAGCCAATATCGTCCTTCCTCTTTTAACCCTATTTTATCTTTCGCAAATACGTTTCATCATTTTCCGTGGTATCTTAGTTAATACAAATGCATTAAATCATAGAATGGAAATTCTACCTTGTACGGTATCGTCCTATGATCGATCAACTCAATTTGTACTTTGAATGATCTCATACGCACGCATATACACACATAAACTTATGATATCATGCAATGAGAATAGTTGGTCAGTAACAGGTTTCAATTCTAAACGTAACCTGTTTTTAGTTTATACAATTATTAGATCGTATTTGGATAAATTCGTTGAAGTTATAACTCGCGAAATGAGAATCGGAGATTGGCGATGATGGTGGGGGAATGTGGGTAAAAAGGGGGGATAAAGATATCGACTTCGAAATTTAAATTCAGCAGTCATTGGAAAGCTTTATGGATAGTAAGCAAGCAGAAAGATTGAGTTTCCTCTGATTACAAGGATACGTTTCAATCTGTAGGGATTTCGTGTTCCAACGTTAGTTACCTCTGATAAACTGGCTATTTCAACGCCATATTGACGAGGATTAAGTTTGAAGCTTTAATTATGATAAATCGAGTTAAAAAAAGAAAAAGAGAAAAAGATGGAAGTAACGAGAATTGAACTTGAAAGACATTTTAACAAAATTCTACGAGATGACTTGATTACACGATACATAATTCCTAAATATTTCTTTTCTCTTCGAGTATTATTCATTTACTGTAGCAGTATAAAGTGTACGAGCAGGTCGTAATAAACACGTTAATTAACGAGCACGGTCTAATTTAAAGTTCCAAGCAAATGACGAACAAAAAGTTCGATCAAATCGAATTCGTTATTTTTGAAGAATAAATGTAAAGAGAACAAAAAAATGTATGCAAATATGATTCGCATGCAGAAGAAAATTTACAAGTAGAAAGATTAGAAAGTATCTTTAAAAGAGAGAACAGGAAAAGCCTAGTCAAAAGCAAGAGACACATTTAGAGAAACATATTATTATTTGGAGTCTGGGTGGCAGAGACTGAATGCTGTGCTGGAGGCCGATTGGAGGATCGATGCGTGCCTACCTACCTCCTGGTAGGCACGTCGACCGGTTCCTGGACAAAGCGACTTGCCCCCAGCAGCAGCACCACCACCACCAGCACCAGAACCAGAACCAGCACCAACAGCAGCACCAGCAGCCACATCGCCAGAAGCCGCACTGTTGGCCGCAACGTCTTCGCGAACTCCGAGAGCTTGGAAATCGAGTATCCTGTCGTTCCTCTTCCCCCTTTTCTTCCCCCTTTTCTTCCCCCTTTCCTTCTCCCTGCTCCTCGCATCCCTCTTTCCCAACTCTTCTCCTCATACCGGTCCAAAGAGGAAGAAGAACAACTTGGAAGACTCCGTCGACTTTTCATTGTTCTAGCCTTGGGATCACGCATAGAAACTCACCAAATATATTTATTTATTTGTTTGTATTTAGGTTGGATCAGAATTCTAAATGGATTACCGATGATTCCAAGTTGATATTAAATATATAAAGACTATACCAGTTACCATCGTGAAAATCGTCGTTTTAAAAATGTGACACCAGTGTCGCATAAAAATTTAATACGAAAAATTAGTATCATTTGAAAATAGAATCTTTGTTCAACAACTCATCGGAGTTAAAGATACATTATTAGATTATCAGTGATCGTATATAAAGTTGTCATCGAAAATGACAATGGTTGATAATGTAGATCAATTGTGATCGTTAGGGTCATTCTTCTGGGCGATTCCTTTGTTAAATGAACGTGTACAACAAAGAAGAGGATGACGATGATGAGGGCTGAAAGTCCGAGGTGTTCGAGCAAGGCCAATCCGGCCCGTCCGACCGGTCAACCGAGTTCGAACACGGCCGGCAAACGACTTCGAGAACTCGATGGATTCTACGCGTTACTCCTATCTCTTTCTCTCTCCTTTCCTTTCCTTTCCTTTCCTTTCCTTTCCTTTCCTTTATCTCCTTCTTGGTCGAAGTCTTTTGCCGGTCTTTCTTCTCTCCTTTCACAACAATATCCCAGAGATTTTTCGAATTTTTCCAAATCCTGATAACGATCGCAACTCTTATTCCTTTTTTTCTTCTTCCATTTTAATCAAATCAATATGATTTTTGTGCAAAGTGATTAGATCGACATTCGGTTTTTATCTCTTGCAACAGATTCACCTATTTCATTTGAACAGGTGATTTGAAACTCGACGCAACTCGGACAAGTTTGAAATCGAGAAAAATTAGATTGTAATCAATAGCATTTGATTAAAAAGATTTTCAGCAACATCGAAATGCAAATAACGTAAGCGGGAGTAAAGAAAAAAAGAAAAGAACGAGAGAAAGGGATGGATTGATAGACACAGAGAGGCCAACGAGATTAGAGTTAAAGCAATTTCTAGGTACACAGATGTATGACTAGGAGCTGCACGCTACACGGACGACGAACCAATCGGAATTTCAAAGGCATCGATGCACCACACATACACACACACACACACAACATACCACGTGAACGTAACGTAGCCAAAGCGTCGTTCGTTGCTTCGTTCGTTGCGTTGTTCGTTACTTTGACAGTGCGAGAGCATTATGCGAACCAACCAATTAAGATAGGTTTAATATGTTAGCAATTAAATGCCACGTTTACCATTTTCCATTTTTTCTATCCTCCTTTTCCAAGCGTTAACTTTGTTAATTCAATTAATTTTGGCGCCATTTGTTTATATCATGGGAAAGATATCGAAACGAATCAATCCGATTCACTCGACCTTTTATATCACGAAATTCGAATACCTTCGCATACACTCGACCCAATTCTTATCCGTTTCCGTTCCTGTTTCTTTTCT